TCAGTCAAAGGAGTAGGTTTGGAGAAAACGGAATTTGGATAAACAGAGTGTGATACACATCCAAGGAGGACTGTAGTGGAGGTGTCATTTCCATCTGGGCTGGAACTCGGAGCAGGCTGCCATTCCAAAGATAAGAGATTCCGAGAGACATGGGGAACATGCAGGAGGGAAGTCCCGGCAAAGAGAAGAATCAGGACTGAATGAGAGGCTGCGGGATGCTGGGATGCTAGGAGAGAGTCCTACACATGTCACACTTGGACCACAGATGTGGAGTGGCTGCTGTGAGCAGGCAACCACTGCTGCCAATGTCAGGACACACGGACACTGGATGGTGGGGACCAGATCATTTGTCTCTGTTTACTGGGGTTTGCAAAAGACATTGTATCAGCCAGCCCGTCTCTTTCAAGGAGGCAATTCTCTTTGGTTAGGAAAAGGCCACTCTATACCTTAGGGGAGAGGGGAGTATTAGGGAATGCAAACTCAGGAGGGAGCTATACTTTTAAGTGTTTACAAAGTGACCTGAAGACTTGAAGCAGGACCAAGTGCAGGGAGTCTCAAGGCAGAAGGGGCTGGAGAAAGAAGATGGCTGACATCTTTTGCCTTTTAGGGGCAGCTGGAGTGACCAAGGGAGAGCAGAGGGAAGCACCAGGAAGGCCAGGCCACAAGCCTCAGGAACAGCCACATGTTTGTGGTAACTTATCTACTGTGCAGAGATGTAAGTCCAGCACTGATATACCCTCCAGAGAATAATGTGGTCCTGAAAAGGACTCTAGGATTCTGTTCATTGAGTTGTAGAGGGTTTGGTTTATAGAGGTAATAGGGTACAGAAAATGTTCCAAGTTCCTAGTGCAGTTGCCAGAGCTGGGAGCTAGGCAAGAGGAAGTTGAGGAAAATTTTTAGAAGGTATGGGCAGAGGAATTCTGCCTTAAGAGGACGAAGATGGGCTCTGTGGATAAGACTAGGATTATATTTCTATTTAATTTCTGTCTTAGACCAAAGCAGGTAGTGTCTGTAGTGCTTAAGAAAGGACTCTGTTTCCTGGATGTCAATGTATAGATTTTGTCTATTCCTTCATTTCTGGTTCTAGTGTCATGTCACAAATCAGAAAATGGGTATGTTAAAAGTGACATCCCCAGGACAGGGTATGGGTAGGGATAGCACAAAAAGGGCAGGTGCACATGGAATCAGGCCACATAGGGCCCCTCCAAGGTCACATCTAACCAGCTTGGTCCTTCCTGATGCTAACTTCCTAAAAAGAGGCAGATCCTGAGCAAGATATGGGACATGAAAAGATGGGGTCAACAACTCTAGTCCCCACGGGCTCCATCATGGAAAGCCAGCATGGGTGAGACTAATTCTCTTGGAGGAATAAAGAAGCATGAGCCAGCGCTAACTGGGCTTAAGTGGTGGTTTGTCTTCTGGAAGACGGACTCCATCCAGCAGGCAAGAGTGCTGGGATCAATTGGTGATGCCTTGTGAGTGAGGCGAAGGGAATAGGTATGTGTGCCAGGTGATTTTCATCCCTGCTGCTGAAAATAAACTGTGCAGATGGAGGCAGGCGAGAGTGGTCTGGCCCTGGGGCTAGTCTTTCCAGAGCAAAGATTCATCCAAGAGGAAATTCAAACTTGAAGCAGAAGAACTACCTGCAGACTTGTCTCAGCTGCCAATGGCTCTCCCACACAAGCACCTGTGTATTCTGCTTCTGTGGGATTTCTATGAAGATGAGAACTTAGGGGGGAAAAGATTGGTTTGTTGCAGGATGTTTGATCACACTGTGAAACCCAAGACTGTGAACTGGGGAAATCTTATTGTGGTGTGGCTCAGCCCTAGCACACATGCCTTTAATCCAGAGCTAAATAAAGTCAGCCCTAGGTCAAAGGGCAGAGCAAGCAACCTGACAGGGAGTGAGCATAAGTAAACAGAAAGGGGTAATATTGAAGAGAAAGATATTTAAGACATTATGGAGAATGCCTTTTCCTCCTGTAACATTGGTGGTGTAGGAAGGTCAGCTGCAGTGGGCTTTCTCTGTCTCTCGGAGGTAGCAGGCGTTCAGCACAGTGTCTGGCTCCTGAGTCATCACTGGTAAACTTGAATGAATGGGATTTTTGTTTTAAAAACAACATTGATCAGTAGTGCAAAAGGCCATTGGGAAGTCAGGCAGTCTAAAGGCCAGAACAATTCCCATTGACTAGGGCAATATCCGTGGGGACAGCGTGTAGGGCTAGCCAACATCAAAGAAGCTGTGAGCACAGAATAGGTAGCAAGCCTGGTACCACTTTTAGGAACTAGAGTTGAGATGGGGGTGGGGTACCCAATAGTGGCAATGGTAGCTGTGGTTCTTCTTCTTTTTCTTTCCTTCTTCTTCTTCTTCTTCTTCTTCTTCTTCTTCTTCTTCTTCTTCTTCTTCTTCTTCTTCTCCTTCTCCTTCTCCTTCTCCTTCTCCTTCTCCTTCTCCTTCTCCTTCTCCTTCTCCTTCTCCTTCCTTCTCCTTCTCCTTCTCCTTCTCCTTCTCCTTCTCCTTCTCCTTCTCCTTCTCCTTCTCCTTCTCCTTCTCCTTCTCCTTCTCCTTCTCCTTCTTCTTCTTCTGTCAATTTGGCATAAGCTAGAGTTATCTGGAAAATGTCTCCATGAGATTGCCTGTATACAAGTCTGTAAGGCATTTTCTTCATAGTTGATTGATGTGGCAGGGGCAGGGGGGTAGCTTGCTGTGGGTGATGCCACCCCTGGGCAGGTGGTCCTAGGTGGTATAAGGAAGCAGGCAGCCTGAGTAAGTCATGAAGAGAAAGCCAGTGAGCAGCATTCCTCCATAGCCCTGTGTCATTTGTGCCCTGAGTTCCTGCCTCGCCTTTCTCTGGGGATGGGCTATAACTTTGAGCCAAATTAAAAAAAAAAAAAAAGAAAAAAAATCTTTCTTCTCCAAGTTGCTTTTGGTAATGATGTTTTTATCATAGCAACAGGAAGCAAGCTAAGACAGTAGTAGTTCTTTAGAGGACCTGAAAATCACCTACAGGAAGATAAATGTCAACCCAGGTATATACTTTAATCTAGGAACAGATCTAGCATGCAAGGGCAGATGATGATGAGAAGATGTGACAGTGGATTTTGATTGACAGCTTGATGAGCTTTGGAGTCCCCTAGGAGACACACCTCTGGACATGTCTCTGAGGGCATTTCCAGAGAAGTTTAATCAAGCATGGAAACCCATCCTAAATGTTGAACAGCAGCATTCCACTGCCTAGGGTCCTGGACTGAGATCTCTCTCCTCTCCTCCCTCTCTCCCTGTCCCTGTCCCTGTCCCTGTCCCTGTCCCTCTCCCTCTCCCTCTCCCTCTCCCTCTCCCTCTCCCTCTTCCTTTCCTCCCTCCCCCCCTCTCCCTCTCCTCCCTCTCCCTCCCCCTTCCCCTCCCCCTCCCCTTCTCCCTCTCCCTCTCCTCCCTCTCCCTCTCCCTCTCC